CTAGTTTACATGAAGTTTGGAACATGTATATATTTGGAATTGCATTTAATTGCACATACGACAAGTTAATTGAAATTAACAAGTACCTGCTCTCTATGATGTGTCATGAGGCAGGTAGATTTACAGCTGTTCAATTCAATTAGATCAGTAGTGAATTTTGAGCAGTTGAATTTCAGTCTTGTCTTTTTGAAAAGATGAAAGGAAAAACAAATGAGCGTCAGTCTGATCAGGATCCATGCTGTTTGCTATCAGTTTCTCTACTTGTAATAAGGTTTGTAAGCGAGACAGCATGGATCCTGATCAGACTGCGCGGATGCGCAGGCTGGTCTGGATCCATGCTGGTCGCAAATGTATTATGTTGGTTTTGTCATGATGCGTCTCAAATAACCATTGTCATGCCTTAAAGGAGCTCCATTGAGGATGAACAGCCTAAAACATAAATTTTGAAATTCTTACATAGATCAAGTGAATCGCTTTAAAATAGAAAAATCTGCAAAAGATTATAGACTTTTGTGTGATTCGTAGCTAGATTTGAGCAATGTTTTTCATTTTTGTGTTTGCACCACAATAATGATTATTCTAGAAAGATTGGGTGAGAGAATGAACTGAAAATTCACACAAAAGTTATTGCCAAAGACCTGTACATCAAACTTTTAATGGTACACAAATGTAGTAAAAATTATATTCAGTCCCGTCTTGTCAAAAAACCACAATGTAGTCTCTTTAAATACAAATTTGCCTGTTAAATGATTCACAAAGCTTATTTTGCTTTAACTAACACTGTGAGTATGGAACAGTTTCTGACAGGAAAATGTTTAAATTAATTCCAAAGAGTTTTGGGTTTAGTTTAAAGAAGTTCAGTTTTAAAAAAAATGTTATTAGTTGTCTCAGTTTTTCTTCTCAAAGAATTAAGTTGAACATACTTGACTTAGGATACTTGATGACACCTGGTACATACTGGGCCTTATAGTTTAAAGGTGCAAGGATCAACACCCTTCAATCATTTATTTACACAGCTAAGAAGCTGGAGTTTACCTAGTGTCAGTCAAGACTTGGGTTTACCTAGTGTCAATCAGGGATGACTTAATGACCAGTCAGAATTATCATTATAAAATCCTTTTTAGTGTGCTATGCACACACCATGCACACAACAGCTTTGGCTAATCTTCCAGAATCCCCTATTGTAATCTATACCAAGGTGCTTTAATAAAGATAGTATTAAAGCTAATTGAAGGATTTTTAAAGTCCACCCCTTAGAGCTTTTAATTAATCAGCTTTTATTGTGACATCATAAGTCAAGAAAGTAAATATTACATAAGCCTACTTGATCTGAATAAGTACCCATTACAATGTCCATAAACAGACCAGTTTTTATTTTTGAACTGGATGTTAAATCTTTGACTAATTGACTTGTGTATTTTTTTTTAAAAAATCCATTGGTTTATTATGTGCTCAAAGGTGAGATAATGTGATATTTTAATGCTGTAATATTTAAATAAGAAAGAAGTTTCAAAATCAAAATCATCTATATATGAATCATATATTAGAGGGTACTAAATGCACCTTTTTTCATGCATTAACATCTGCAGAAGCACGATGATGCGCCTGCCAATAAGCTGAGGGCTTCTGCAGATGTTGATGCACAAAAAAGGTGCATTATTAGCGCTATTCTTGCATAAAATTATAAGTCTAACTCAGTAATTACACATTTCGTTTACTATTTTTCGTAGATTGTGCAATGCTTTACACGTTCTAATGCAAAGTCATTTGACAGTTATGTTTTAATAATAAAACTTAACTGGGTCTGTCATGGCATTTAACTCTTTTTACATTGTGCCCTTAGTCATGCATATGATAAAAACATGCAACAGGGGCACAATTTTGGCCACTAGAATTGGCCATTAATGCATTTTTTCTATGTTAATATATTATATGTACCAAAGTGCACAGTTTAATGCAAGAATAATGAATATATTACTGTTTGAGACTTAAATATTATAACATATTTATACCAAATTTCTTCAAACATGGGAAAATTCCAGAATTAAAATATTGACATTGATTTAAACATATATTGGCAATTAAAGAAGTAAAGATAATATATTAGTAACAATATATTTCTTTATTTTATTTAGTTGATTATACAGTTATAATGTTGAAATGTTTCTGAGCCCATTTTTTGCTAAGGATTATTTCTAATTGAGAGATTGAGAAGTCTTTTTTTAACCCCATTTGATAGTTCCAGTGTTCTGGGTTGAATAATTTATGGTTTAAATTTAATTCAGGGTATCCGATTTAATGTATTCCCTTACTAAAAATATCATTTTCATTTTTTTGACATCCTATAAAATAGATAGTAATAATGAAATTTAGCGTATTAGCATAATTAGAAGTCTCGCTCACAAATAATGCTTCTTTAATATGTTAGATATGTAAATCTTTGTGTAACCTATGAAATAAATGTCTCAAATTCGAGATGAAATAGAAAGATTATCTTATTACAGTGGATGAAATTTTGGTGCAGGTCATTTGGTATTTTTTCTTATTTATGACCCCCCTAATTTTTTTTAGAAAGAAAATATTTTTTTACTTGCTGTTACAAAGTTACAGTTGTCTGGTGTGTTTCCTTAAAGTGTTCTCATATGTCCAAAATAATATTTAAAATAATAATGAATAATATCTATAAAAAGAGAAAAATATGAATGAAGTTTTGATATATTTAAATAGATATTTAAAAGGTTTAAAAATTCTCTTTAATTTTCCCAGTTATTTTTTAGGAGCAAAAAAAAAATAAAATGAATAAATGACTTAGAATATGGTTAAAGTAACAAACATTATGATCATAATTTATTATTAAAATGTTGGCATTTGTTATATAGTCATAAATTTTTAAAAGCAGCTCACCTTCATATTTGTGATTTATTTTTTTTATGAAAAATTTGTCGCCAGTGAAAAATTGTCAATTAAGAAAAATATATAGTCATATGACACCAAGTTAATATAATTACATATGCTATAGTAAGTAATTATCTGTGTATCATGTGCAATGTGGATTTTGGATTGTAAATGGTTTTATAACAATTTTCTACAATTTAAACGTATATCATATTTTCCTTGAATTTTATGTTTTGTACATTTATTTACTCACCTGATTGCTTCTGCAGCTTCTGAAAAACAAGTTATAATGAGATGCAATATGTTACAGAGTGTTTGATCTTTTCCACTCTAAAAATATAATCATTAAAATATAAAATAATTAAGATTATTTTTCTTTTAAATTGAATAAAAAATCTTCTGAGTTTTTTATTGGGATGTCATATTATGCCAACTTACAATGATGTTTTAGACATTATAATAAAAAACCCATTGTTTCCATATTAACAGTTCTATATAAGTTACTTATTGCCCAGTATATCTAATCAAGGGATGATACCTAGTCATATTTAAGAACCAGACAGAGCTGTCTATGGTCTTTATCTTCTCAATAAAGAGGCAAATAAATTAGTTATTGTCCAGTATTTTCAGCAAATCAAGGGATGATATATGACAATTTTAAGAAACAGACAGAGCTGTCTACAATATACTTCTCAAGAAATCATGCAAGAAAAAAAATCCCTATCCAAATATGATCACCTTATTAACACTTTTCTTACATATACTTAAAACCAACAATCAAAGAATAATAACATAATTATACAAGTATTAGTACAACACAATAAAATGTTTTAATTGTTGTTAATCAGCCACTTAATTGCTTGGAGTCATTGTTATATTTCACAGACACCTTTTGAAGATGGGTCAATCTATTGTATAAACACAACAGGTATCCCATAATTGACAATGTGACAAACTTAACAACATAATGATTAGTTGTTTGTAACATCACTTTAGAGATACTCAAACTTCTCAAGTATTTAGGATTAAAAAATAACCTTATTATCTTAAGAGGTGTATATATATTGCACTTTAAAATCCCCAAACTTCACACCCATACTGGATGTTGTGATATAAGCATTGGAAAAGTGTTCTATTGAAAAGTGCTATTTATTTATTAAGATCATATTTATCATTAGAAAAAATATTTGTTCAGTGGAAAGAAGTGATTTATTAGTGATAAATTTTGAGAAAAAAGATTTTATTTATTCTTTAAAAGTGTGGATTTTGTTTAAAGTGGACAACTGAGTTAAAATATTTTAAAGTGTTAAATAGACATAGAGTAATAAGTTGGAAACTGTTAAATTGAACCTGCTTAAGGTTATACGCAAAGAGGGAAAAATGGTTTTCTTTAATGAGCCTGAGGCTTGTATGGGGCATCAAGCACCCGTCCACACCAAAACATGTGCAACCCTTAGACCTATCTAGAGACAGGGAGCAACACTCGTCTTGCATGCATGCAAGTCGGCGCTCGAACCTGAAACCTTCAAATGTTATGCTTGAGTATGAACCGGATACGAAGCCTGAGTACAGGCGTGATCATGTCTTACGACAGAGCAGGGTCTCCAGCAGGGGTTTAGATCATAGGCAAAGGGTTCGAAACAAGGGTTATAATCATGTCTATCAGATGCCTGCTGTATGCATGATACCAGCTATTCCGGTTCCCATGCCAGATTTCTGCTTCTTTGATTTTATTTTTGGTGGTATGTCCCTCTTTTTTTCTTTGTTTAATTTTTCTTGTGTTATGTTTCTTTATTCCTACGTTTGCTCTTCATTTATAAATCTGTGCTGCAGATTTATATATGATTAGTTTTGTAATGGAAGATGATGAGGGGAAAAAAAAGACTAATTTCATCTTCAGTCTTTTTTGTTATTTAACATGTATATAATTTTTACTTGTTTTATTCTTGTACAATATTCATTTTATTGCAGGTAGTTTATCATCTGGCACAATATATGTTAAAAGATGGTTATAACAGAAGTTTCTGTTATAAAATTTAAAACAATTATTTTTCCTGTCATACAGTGTTACATAGTATTATATATATTTATTTATATATTTTCAGATGTTCCAGCTACAGCCCAGGTTCCACCTCTGACCCCTGGGACAACTCAGAAAATGTCTCAGGCCCTTTTAGAAAGCTTTAAAAGCTTCGAGAAAGATCAACACAGACTTGGCATTCCTAAAGGTAAGAAACATTTGTATAAAAAAACACAACTAAAAAATCTGTGAACAAATTCTTTATGCAAAAATAAAAAAAAATTAAGGGACATCAACAGTTGTTGCTAGCCGTTCTTGAAATTCCATTGGAGGAAAATTAATGATTACAGTCATGCTAAACACAGTGGCATCATCTGAGAACAACCCATCATGCCTGTTAAATAACAAAAGTCATTCACAACTTTGAAAAAATTAGATACTTTATAATTT